GAAAGAGACGGGTCGGTCACCCTAAGACCACGTGGAGACGATCCTGTGAAGAGGAAATGAAGAAGTGCAACCTGTTGTGGGGTGAAGTGAAAAAGGCTGCCCAGAATAGACTGCGTTGGAGAGCTGTTGTTGAGGCCCTTTGTTCCACGGGGAATCCAAGGAGATAAGAAGAAGAAGACTCCATGGCCTTCACCAGTGATTTGCTTATTGCTATGCTATAATCTCTGGTCTATGTGTGTCAGATTACATGTCACTCCCACCACGTGAAAGAAAACTGTTGCCAACCTTCTGTCATCTCTCTCAAAGAAGCCTCCTGGCCTCACAGTGTCTCGGTATGTAAATCATAACTCAAGGACCATTTATTTACCTCAATTTACAACCAGCTTTTGATTTGTCACAGCATTTCTCCTTACTGTCTCCTTCCTAGATAGCAAGGTCCCTCTCTATAGACTCGTGTATGCACATTCAAAATCTGGCATCGTTTCTTGGCATTTGTGTTTATGTGTTTGCATGAAATGTGTTAGCTCTATTTTTAGTCCTCATTATGTCTTTTTTAAATAATAGAACTTATTTTTCTATGCATTTGTGTTTTTTGTTTTCTGTATTCACTTTGCGAATTGCAATATGCTTGTTAGAAGTGTTAGAAAATTAATACATCTAATTTATTGATCTAGGTGTATTTACTGTATATTTTTGCACAGGTGACGACAGGTTTCAACTCAACACACATTGCCACATTTCTCAGTACTTTAAAAACACACATAAACATTTTCTATTCACACAATTATACAATTTGAAGAATAAACAGGAAGACCTAGGAACTGACAGTTTGCTAACGCCCACACCTCCTAGTTACTGTTGCTGGTTGCTACACCTGTCAAGTTTTGTGTTACAGCACAATGATAACAGTGACAGATTTAGCATTTAAAATTCATAGCAATTAGTAAACAATGGGTCTTTCTTTGATTCACACACAAAAACAGACTTCTTCTAGCTGACGACCGCAGTTTTTGACAACTTTCAGCAGAATTAGATAGATAATAAAGCTAAGGTTCGCTTAATATTAATGTTAGAGTTGCCTGAAAACACTGTCTCTAGCTAATGTTTTTACATTCCCAACTCATTTCCAAACTTGGGCAAGCAGAACCAATGTTAGGTTTATGCTTTACTGTTTGTATTTTTGATCAGTACTTTTCACTTTTTAACATATTAATCATTTTAGCCATTTTTAAGTGAGCATACTGTAAAGTAGTCTCAGAAAGAAAGAAGCTTTGACTGAGGTTGCTGTAACCTTCCCCAAAACCTGCTGAGGTTAGCCTAAACTACAAACTTGTTATTATCTAGGACCAGCTTCCAGACAGTGGGGAAATACTAAACAGAGGATGTGCTGTCTTGAACAGGGATTTATTTATTTTACATGTAACCTGTAAACCCACAAAGTAATGTAGATTTAATGCTCTTCGGCCTTGGAAGTAACACTGCATATTGATGCTAAGCTAATCAGCTGGGTATGCAAATTTTTACTGTTGCATTTTTGGATTTTGAAAGGCAAAAGAGAACTCCAAACTCTTTAAACATAGTGTTATTCTTACTAGACACACATGCAGTGTTTCAACATGTGGCGAAATCCAAAGCCCGACAGACCCACCACACCGTCTTTTACTGTAGTTACAAGCTTTTATCTGGGCAACCTGGGTTCTGGGTTCAGCATTCAATCAATTAAAATGTTTTCAAACTTTGTATCTCTGGGTTTTTGCTTTATGGCTGTTTAAAAGCTTTAGACCTGAGCAGAGTGATCCTGTCTGCTAATGAGCTTCACCAGCTGATGTCTCTTGCAGGTTCATTTGAGTGAAATTCCCCATTTTCAGTGCACACCAATTTATTATTTTGGGCCCAGATTAAAGATTTTCTTTGCCACTTCATGCAGTATGGCACTTTTGTGAGAACTCATTTGTCATCATGTGTCTATGGGTTGGAACATACAGTAAGACACTTAAATCACTGAAGAACACTGCAGCAGCTCCTTTCTCCTGGAGCTCTACTGTTTGTGTCTCTGACAGCTACAACAGACAGATGTGCTCCCTTATGTTTAATTCTGCTTCAGCATCTCTCATCTGTTTTTACTGACATCTGAAGAAACTACACTGTATTTGAATCTCTGCCCATCTTTGGTTTATAAAGTGGAAAAGCTGTTGAAGCAGCAGCCGCTCACCTGTCATGCTGCTTTTGGGTCTCCAGGCCATGCTATATACAGGTTAACAAAATGCAGAACAAAGTAGGGAACTGAAGATGCACAAATGCCAAATTCCCATTTTGTTGAACCTTTGTCATGCTGATGAAGCCAGAACAAACATTTCTCAGCATGTTTCAAGCCAAATAAACTGAGTAACAAAAAGACAAAACCTAGGAAGCATTTCAACGCAAGCTATTGCCACCTCCTGCAACATGTGGGCAGTGGACAAATTCAACATCCACACAAACAAGCAAAAAAATCTTCAATCTAGAGATGATAGAGATATTTATATTCCCGAATCAACCAAATTAAGCTGGTAGAAACTGTAAAGCACATTGATGCTGTTGCAGTTTTCAAATTGGAGTTGTGTGTACGCCAGTTGTTTTTACCAAAGGGTATATTTTGGCTATGTGGCTGGAGCCAATCCCAGCTGAAATTGGGTGGGAGGTGAGGTACACCCTGGACAAGTCACCAGTCTATCAATGGGCTGACACTTAAAGACAAACAACCACACACCCACACTCACTCCTATGGGCAATTTAGAGTCACGAGTCAACCTAAGCTGCATGCCTTTCGACTGTGGGAGAAAGCCGGAGTACCCGGAAAGAATCCATACAGGCACAGGGAGAGCATGCAAACTCAGCACAGAAAGGCCAGGGCTCAAACCTAGAACCTTCTTGCTGTGAGGTGACAGCACTAATCACTGCTCCACCATGCAGTCCCTTTTAGGCTTCTTATTGCTGAGGAATTTTTTAAGTTGGAATAATCAGTGGAGAGGATGGGGGTCAGTAAGAGACAGAGGAGTCGTGAGGTGGAATTAATTCCCTATAAACTTCCATAAAACATACCTGTACTTGACCTGATAGTTTCTTGTCCGACCGTTTGTCCAAGCAGGTCGTATTGATTCAAACGGGAGCTTTCTCCTTCCACTACCACAGATTCAGAGGCATTTCGAGTCCAAGAATAAGTCACTTCTGTGATTGTGTAGGCATCTAAAAAAGAGAGAAGATGATAAACCCAAAGGATAAATCTGGGGTAGCTGCAACTATCAGTGACCTAGGAGCAGAGACACACTAAGCCAACGCAAAAAAACTAGTAGTGACAAAGGTCAAGCTCTGCGTCACCTCACATCTGCTTTGTCTGTGCCAGTCAGGTTGAAAAAGTGACACTTAAACACACGGCACAAATGACAGCCAACAGCCGACTGGCACAAATGTTCTGCACCTGCGTGACAGAAATAACTCCCCGACCAGCAGGCGGCGGCATCTGTATTCACCATTCAGAAAGGGAAAGAAGAGCTGGAATGTGGAAGTATAACCTATAAAACACCTCTAGTTCAAAACAGCTGCTCTTTAAAGCCGCTGATAATCGACAATATGTCTGATAAGAAGTTGCAAATGACACTGTCATTCACTGCCCTCTGTGTTTTGGTTGTGGAAGAAGAAAGAAGGTTGTGGAGGCAAAAAACAGGGACAAAACACACTAAATGGGTGAAATCATGGATATCTCAGCGTCAGGCTGACTGGGCTTTCCTGAACCTTTCTCTGATTTGCTAAGCTCAACAGCCAATCAGAGTGATCCCTCTCTCACCAACGAGGCCCAATGGGCTGACGCATATTCAAAATGTCGAATCAGCTGAAAAGCCACTGACAAGAGGCTGACTAGTGCCGACGGTGCAGGACACACCAGGAGGACGAGCCCCTAACAGCCCAACGATTGCCGGCAGCCAACCGTCAACTTGGTGTGTCTCTGCTCTAAAGGAAAAGCCTCCACTACATTGTGTTTGACACAGGAAAAAACATTAAGGACTGAAAAAAACTGTGGTTAAAGAAGTAAACTCTGAAATGCTAACAAGCAATCTGTGCACATTTGCCCCTTTGAGTCACAGCATACACTGCGTATGAAGTTTGAACACTTGTTTGCTAATATAAAAATGTCTCATGAAACACAAAAATAGATCTTTTCCCACCATATTCAGCTATTGAAATATTCTGCTAATCCTGCTATGCTGCAGATTGTTGCAACAGGGCAGTATTAATGAGAAATCTGTAGGTCACCACATAATTTATTAAAAGTAAACGGGCCATTTAATTAGTGTATGTCACAACATTTCAGACTTGCCTGCACATACACTGATCCTTTAATACTTAATAATCCCATATTCTTAAACCAATATGTTAAAAGCATCTTAAAGCAAAAAAATATGTTCATCCAAATGTAAAGAAGCCATGGCAATAATACTGTGATTCAAAGAGATTTAAATTGACAAAATAAAAATATTTGGATGAGTTTAGAGTCCTTTCCCCCATAGTTCCCAGTGACATCTCGACTCAGTCTTTTAGCTGTCAGTTATTTGCTATCTGTTTAACTGCTGATGCAAATGTTGTTAAAATGTGTAGGGTCGCTGCCAGAAAATGGAGCCATGCATTCCAGCTTCACTCAGTTCTTAAGTGGCTGTCTAGCCAAAGAACCAGTGAGGAGGAAAGAAAAAAAATGTAAACAGCATTTTACTCAAAGTTCCCTTAGGCGCTATCATCAGAGTTACTCACAGCTGCCAAATTTTAGTGGACAGGAATGAAAGTCCATGGGGAAATCCTCCAGATGCATTGGGCACTCTGCATGCACAGTTAACCTGCATCCAATTCACAGAAAATTAAGGAGACTTTGCAAATGCATGAAAAGTAAACAGCACAGATTAGGCACGATCTTAAAAAAATAAATCAATAAATAAATAAATAACTCAGAAGCCTCATGCACTATTCAAGACACTTCCCATCTGTAATGCCTTGAAATAAAATAAAACAAAAACATAACTATAACCAGCACTGCAAAGTACACAACGTACTGCAGAGACCAGAATACAGTAGTGTGTGTCTACGACGATACTATAGGTGGGCTGTGTAGTAATAAACTACATTGCATTGTGTGTACTAATTAAAACATTCAACCACTGTAAAAATAACTTGCAGTATATTATATTTCAAACTGATGATCTTGAAATGCATGTTGACAAAAGGATGCTACACTGTATAAAACCAGCTGTACGAAGAATCCATTTGAACAAATGCGATTCTGTGTCTTTCTATAAGGCTATGACATGCTTTTAGCAAGGTACAGTAAAAGTCTGCTGTCCAAGTCTGTCCATTTAAGGGAACAGTCTCACAATTTAGGAAATATGGTTCTTGGGTTTATTGTTGAACTGAGAAGACAGATGCCACTCTCATCATGTCTGTATAATAAACAGGCAGCTACAGCCAGCAGCTAGTTACCTCAGCTTAGTTCAAGGACTGGAAACAGGTAGAAACAAAGAGCGGCTCTGTCCAGAGGTCACTACCAGCATCTCTAAAGCTCACAAATTAACACTTTATATCTTGTTTGTCTAGTTTATACAAAAACATAAATACAACTTTTATTATGACTCTTTCTTCAGACATACTTCTGTGACTTGAATTACCTCATGGTATATAGCAGTGTCCCATCATCTTTGATCCTCAACAGTTTATTGGGCATGGTCATGTTATGAGCCACGGACTTCTTCCCATTGTGGAAGAAGGTGTCTGGAGTCCAGATTTTACTCGCCATCAGGTTGTTGAGGGGCAAAATGTTCATTGGCCCATGAAATTTCAACCTCTCATCCCGCCAGCTTTGGCGGAAAAAAACATCGATGGTGTACTCCTGTGGGCAGAGGAGCAAAATAAATCAAACTGTAGAGCTAAACAGCTTTTGATACTATTACTTACAAATCTCTTTTTATGTTTCAGCTTCCCCGTGTATCAGATGAGTCCCATTCCTCCTGAGAAAATGTCAAACAAAACACAGGCCACTTTCCACTGGTGTGTTTTAAGGGAGCCTACAGCTCTTCACGGCTGACTTCACCTAACACTTTAAAACTTGCTTTCGGCTTTTGGCTTCCTCTATTTGTCAAAGCTCCATGAAGGTGAGGCCTGCGCTGTCCGTTTTCCTCACAGCTCTCTGAGCTGGTGTTTTCCTAAGCTGGCTCTGAGGCCAAGACAGCCCCTTGACCTACAATGGCTCTGTTGTCAAAAGAAACCACACAAGAAAGGGTTTAGGGTGGAAAGCACTGCACTGTGACATGTGTGTACATGTGAGGATGTGTGTGTTTGTGTGATTCACACACAGCAACACTGAGCATGAGAAGGCAAGAGATGAATTCCTCCAGAGTTTCTTCTTGTCACGGTTGAAAAACCTTTGACATTTAGATCTTGTGACGCTAAAACTGTCCACTGAAACCAAGATGGATACAATTCTTTTAGGGTATAGCAGCCCTTATAGTAAAGTACTCGATCATCGAGTCATGTGATCTGAGAACAGGGTAACATTAAATGTGATAAGGCAGGAAGTACAAGCAGTTATCTGATCAGGCAAACTGTAAACCAACCAACTGGAAAGCCAATTAATCAAACCCATGTTATTTTAAGTCACCTAAAATGTCAGTAATAATCCCTAATTGCACAAGAAAGTAAAAGAAAAGTGTGGCAATTCAAAGTTGGTGTGTAAAGTATTTTATGACCTCTTTATAAAGATGGTTGTGTTCAGAAAGAACAGATGGATTGTGGGCTGACTGCCACAGAAATAACAGGGACATCATAAAGTACTGAGACTAGCACATTTCTAGTCATTTACTGATAATAAAAAGATATAAAATGTCACGTGTCATCTGACCTGCTTGCGCCACATCTGACTTCTTTTAAATGAGATCCTAGTTGAGATCTTAGACCTTAATTACCTTGATGAGTTCAATGTTATTATTAGAATCAGGAATATAAAAATAAGGTGTGAACCATATACTCAGGCACAGTGTGTGCACAACGTTGGCGGTTTGAGTTCGGCTGCCGACCTTTGTCACAGGTCGTCACCTCTGTTTCTTCTCTGTGATCCACTTAAAACTGATAAGAAATAAAGGCAAAACGTTATATGAAATTAAGACCAGTGTTTTAGGGCATAAAGCTTTTTGGCCTTTGGTTTCAAATATACTGTACCTCTGTTGTCTTTGTTTGACAAAGCTCTTGAAGCTAAATACAATGGTTTCTTCTTTCCATTTTCATCTTCTACTAATTATTTTTCTTCCATATTTAATCTTCAGCTGTCAGCGGGCATCCTGTAAATGCTATAAATCCTATAAAGTGGACACCGCAGCAATCAGATGAATTACTCTACAGTATCTGAATCAATAAGTCATCCAAAGGACAATATTTCATTGTCCTCCCTCATCTGCCTGGGTGAGACTATAACCTGAAATACCTGTTTCCTACCATATTTTACTTATGAATAATTAACAGCATTATAAATTTCCAAACCTCAGTGTACACTGGGACTATTTAATCCCGCTCATGTCAGAGTTCTGAAGCATTTCTGCGTTATAAGGTGTAACTAACTCAGAAATGACCACTGCCAGTTAAACTGAAGAAGATGATGCCCTCCTATCTGCTGTCTGTCTGGTTGGTTGCAAGATAACTTTAAAAGGAGACATGAGGAATAATTTGGCTGAAAGTTAGTGGATCACCCTCAGGCCATTTATAGTGTATTGCTCTGGGCCTGTTCCACATACTGTATGAGTGGTGGTTTATGATCAACTGAGTCCCATCTGGTTTACACATCTTTCTGAGGGCACTGCAAAGAACTTGAAATCATAACTGTGAAATCAATACATCAGTCACTAAGAAGATGCATCTTTGACAAGAGAAGTCACACTGATGATATGATATGAAGGTAGGCACATGTTTCAGAACAATAAACAGCAAAGCCCAGGATAAACAAAGGACCGACTTGAATAAAGAGAAGACTCTCGCTGAAAACTGTCAGATGAATAGGCATCATGCTGTACTGAGGATTACTGTGTGTGTGTGTAGAGAAAGAAATGAAGATGACGTAATAACAAAAGGAGGAGAAGCTATGATGAAACTAAAAATAAAGCAAAAGAAGCATCTTTTCTTTCCTAAAGCATGAACAGGGAGTACACAGCTGTCCTCTGGAGCGGTGGTGTTCTCTGAGTGTTTATACAACAACAAAAACATGGGTGAACAATTAAACACTAAGAATAGATGTCCAATATCTGCTCTCACCATGTCTGTGTCTGAAACTGGTCCAAAGCTGGTGACGTAGATGTTTGTCTTCACCTCTGTTACCCTGTCTGGATAAGAGAATAATTAGAGGCATCAATTTACCAAATAAAAAAAAAGGAGAAGTCAAAGTGCAGCAAAATGAAGAGAGTTAATCAGTTTTAAAAGCAATGAGTTTAAAGTAATAATCCTTAACATTAACAATATTTTATTAGCATGGTATTAAAGTACTACATAAAATAAGTGTCTAACCGATGAAACACATGGTGCCTTTTATTTTTTTTTATTGTGAAGCAGCCAGCATAAAAGTTTATCAGGTGTTTGTACAAAAGAAGAGACTTTTAAAATTTGTTAAACCTGAGCCTTCTACTGCTGGACAGTGCTGCTGACAGTTGCGCCTCTGTTGTATTTCTGATATAGTAACTTCTCAAAGAGTGTCTGCCTCAGTTAAACCTCAGTAACCACAAGTGTCATTAAATCAACTAGGACTGAAGTCTTAAAGATCGTAACTTAGATATCAAACTGAAGGACAAATTCAATTTTGTTTGCAAATTCAACAGAACTTACACAGTAAATGTGAGTCACCATATCATATAATGAATATGCACCCAGATTTTGTATATTCAAACATGCAATTTTAAGTTAACAGACCTTCCAGTGCTACTAGATGAAGGTCAGATTTAACTGTTATTGATCATCCTCTTAAATCAAACTTATTTATGGGCAACTCTTGTAAGATTATTTTAAATGGGTTTTTAAAAAAAAAAGCTGTGACAGTTAGGAAGAGCCTCATGTACTTCCTGTTCAGGTCTGTGTGCTTTCTCTACATTCATTCTCTTCCAGCAATGACTCAAGTCTCTCATGCTCGGTCAGTTCAAAAAGCTCTCACACTTTGCTCTACACAGCAGACAGCATTTCACACGCAATCCACAGAGATCATTACTCCTGAACAAAGTGCTCTCATGCATGACAAGGTGAGCTGCCATCCATGTACCTCTGACGAGACATATTGAGGACATGCCTTCTTATTTATAAGGTATTATTATAATCAAGAGCAAGTGGTGATCCATTTAGAAAGACATGTGGAGAGGGGTGCAGCTATTTAAGAAAACCAGACTGTTGTATGAGAATCAGGCTGACTTACATTTACAAGGTTTTCACTGCAGCCTACAATAGTTGGATTTATTTAAAGAGAAAGGTCGATTGTGGATGGTGCACATGAAAGAGCAACCCAGTAACAACCATGTTTGACCATAAACGCAGTCATGCTTGTTCTTCAGACCCAGATGATTCCACAATGCAATTTAAAAAGCAATGCAAAATTGTTGGCCGCTGTTAAGAATTGAAACTACCATCATGCATTGTGAAGACAGAGGAAAAAACCGCATTTACAGGACTGCCAGATAAAAGGGTGCCCCGAGTAATGTCTGAATTTTGCCATCTAACATAATAACTTTGGATACAAGCAGCTTTTCTTAGCACTTTTCTCTTGGTGCATTACAGAAAGCACACTAGAAAAATAAGAAGCCTCTATCTCTGTTTTTACTGCAGTAGTACTTCAGTCTGATCATGATGCTTTGTGGTTTGTTTTGTCCAACCACAGAGCACTTTTAAAATGTTCTTTTTTGCACACTAGATTACTGATCATTATTTAGCCTTTATTAGTCAGCCAGTTGCAGTGAAGCAGACAAGAGAGAGAGAGAGAGACCTGTGACAGACCTGGGAGCAGTTGAACTGCTGATGTCACAAACCCCAAAGGCGTGCATGGGGTACTGTGCCATAACCGCTCACCTCTAGGGTGCCTTTTTTTTTGCATTTATGAGAATTATTGTTTTCTGTAAATGTGTGTGTCATCACATTAGTCATTACTTGATTTTTTCTTTGATGTTACTGTAATTTCAGGTTTTCTTCTGTATATTCTGCACATTGTATTGAGAATGGACCCTTTTACTTATTTATTGTTATGTTGCTGAATATGGTTTGTTCTTGTTTGGGATTTGTTGACATTCCCCAGATAATTATGTTTTATTCCAGGGCCTATTTTGTTCTTTCCCCTAATTCCTTGCTTGGTCCTATGAATTGGTTGTTGCTCTGTGTAAGTATACATTAGATTTACATGTACAATATACATATGCAGGCGTGTTGGCTTTTGTTATATAAATTGCCTGATGAAGGCTTCTTGACCCACACGTAGTGCTGACAATGTGTAGGTGATGATTCTTGTTATATCACAACCCTGTATCAACCCTCTCCCCAACTGACTGAGGTCTGTGGAAACCAAACTCCACCACCAACAGCTCCAGTTCATTTGCATTGCATGAGTGAAGCAACTTCACAGGAAAAACACACAATATTTGTACAAATGTGGCATCCTCACAGTAGCAAACCTGGAAGCACACAGCCCTCGGGGAAAATACTTGTTTACTTTTTTAAAATATCTGCAGTACATGTAAAGCCTGAGGACGTTAGGGCATTTATTTATACAAGGACAATGCTGTACCTAAAATTGATTAATTCAGTAAGAACGGTCATAAACATGTGCTTTTCATCTCATCTGAATCATTTGGAA